CTCCTCCCCATCGGCAGGCAGGGGTTCAGCCGTCCTCAGGAAAGCAGGGCTCCATCATGCGTAGCGGTTACTGGGGAAGACAAACGCCATCACACCCAATGTCCCCCCCCTTTCCTTCTTCTTCCCCCAGCTTATATACTGAGCATGACGCCATATGGTATGGAATAGCCCTTGGGCCAGTCTGGGTCACTGTCCTAGCCGTGCTCCCTCCCAGCTTCTTACGCCCCTGGCAGAGCACGAGAAGCTGAAGAGTCCCTGACTGGTGTGAACTCTGCTCAGCAAGAACCAAAACATCAGTGTGTTATCAACATTATTCTCATCCTAAATCCAAAACACAGCGCTCTACCAGCTACTAAGAAGAAAACTAACTCTATCCCGGCTGAAACCAGGACACTAAGCCAGGTTGGTTATCTGTTCAGTGACGCAGGGCTCCCCGGGTGCCCGAGCCGAGGAACGAGCCAGGCTCTTCCCTTTTAAAATCAGAGCAAATCACCACCGTGTTCAAGGGGGATTCTTGCTTGTTTTACGAGGAAAACAGGACGGACACCATGGTACTTACAGCCAGAGACGGCAGGAGCCCTTTCTGCTCTCCGGGGACGCTCCGTCCACCCGCTCCTGGGGTTTTTCAAACACAAACAAAGCCTCAGTTCCACTACGGAGCAGGCGTCTTCTCCTCCGGGGTGAAAAAGGCGTTTTAGCTGGCCACGCTCCTTCTGCAGAAGCAGCTGTAGTGTGGAGTCTAACTCCTCTTTCTTTCAGAATTACTGCACAATATATACTTACTTGAGTAACACTTTTTATCCCAAAGGATCACCCAAAATAGGTTACAAATCATTTATCAACCCCACTGCCAAAACACAGCCGCCTTTAGGGTATAAAATACCAACTGGCCGACAATGACAGAACCATTGAAGAAAACATCCAGCTGAAAAACAGAGAAATATATGCAAAGAACAGCAAAGTTTCTCCTCTCCAGCAGAGGATAAAAAGGAAGCCAACCCCCTGCTACACTTCAGTTGAAAAATACCTCCCAAACCCTTCTATTTGATCACCGCTCACAGTCATCTCCCATTCAGACACTAACCAAACCCAATGTAATCGTCCTGTGGCATAATTTTAACACCGCTCCTTCAAAACAGTGATCGTCCAAAGTTAACAAGCAGAATAAACACAATTAAAACCACAATTTTAACGTAACAATCATATGACAACTGCCTGCCAGTTTCATTTTACTAAGCCACATCACATTACTTATCAAATTTAGAGAAAAAAAAACAACACACACAGTGAAAGTTTTTATTCCTTTATTGATAAATGCTTTCCAGACTTTCCAAACTGGATTGTTCAGTTAAAACCAAAACCACAAAATACTTTCAACCTAAAATCCTCAATGTCCCGCTTAGAAGACACAAAGGGTAGCTCTGTTCTGACCACAAAGGAAAAGCTTGCAAGCCCAATTCTGGTTTTGGAAATCTAGAGCTTCAGAGTTGGCTTTTTAAATAAGATCTTAAAGATTAATTTACAAAATGCAATATAACTATGTGATATGATGCACGGCATTGAGATCTGCAGGACAGTGAAGAATCTCCAAACATCGTGAGCTGATGTCTAGGAAGGGGCTATTTGGCTTCTTCGCATCCTGGAGGAAAAGACGACAAGTTACCTCCGTGCAGCACACCCCCCTCCAGGCTAGCGAACTTCCCAGCGTTACAAACCGTAAGGACCCCAGTATAATTTGCAAGGTAAGGAGAAGCTGTTAACGGTTGTGGGTAATATCCGTTTCTGATCATCTGCCAAGAAACTCAAACTCTTGAGCAGAGAAGCCACTGACTGGAGCCACTGAGAAATACATGGCAGAAAATGGAAGAACCCTTCATCGTTCTTCATTTTGAGTTGTGACATCTGACCACAACAGCCTCGCAAGAAGTACTGAAGACGTCAATTCCAGACAACCCACAGAGAACTGGATCATCAAAAGCAAGAAGAGGCATCTGAAGAATCAAAAACCTTATTCAGAAGTTAAACAAGAGCCAGCTCCAAACACAGGAGACAGCATTTGCTTGGACAGAGCTATGCAGTGACGTGACATTCCTGACACCAGCACTTTGCCGGATACTGTAGGCAGATGATTGTCAGGAAAAGGAACGGGCATTAGCAGCCTATTTAGCCCCACAGTCACTAGAACATCTTGTCTCTCTCGTTTTATTTCCCAGATTAGCAGTTTCACAAGACTGATCTCAATACATTATTCCTTCCTTGACATGTCAACTGCTAGGAACACTTCAGGGACTTACGCAACATCTTTCTGATGCTTAAAGTAAGGTTTCTGAAGAATATTTCTAAAGCCTCTGCAATAAGGACTCCATTGGGAAAACCGCATTAGGGTTGTTTTTTTCCATTTTGTCTTGTTTTTTTAAAGAGTGGACTAAAAGCAGCAACTGCTGCACCCAGAGCTACACGGGCCTCCAGACTGGCTACGTTCACTAACCGCCATGCTTTATTTACTCCAATTCTGGAAGCTTTAAGTGACGCTAAGGACCGAGACACTCACCAGTCTTCCTGGTTTAAGAGGTAGCAGCAACCACGCCCACCTTCTGGGCAGCTTCTTTCTTGGCTTGGTGAGCCTGCAACACTGCAACGGCCTCCTCCACCTCGGGGAGACAAGTTATTATGAGACCTATTCTCTTGACCAAAGCCTCCCACAACCCACCCCATCTAAAGGAACGGGCCAGCTTACCTTTGACCGGAGGGATTCTGGAGACTCTAGCATGTGCAGCAGCTCTGAGTTGTCAATCTCTAGCAGCATTCCTGTGATCTTCCCCGCAAGGCTGGGGTGCATAGCTTGAATCAGAGGGAACAAACGTTCTCCTGGGATGTGTGGGGGAGAGTTGTAGAAATAGGGGAAAAAAGTTTCCCGGGGGGGGGGGGGGGAAGGAGTTCAGACAGCCAAGTTTTGGTTAAAATGTCATCTTTGAAACCTGAGGGCATTTCTGAAGTAAAACACAATCTGTAAGAACCAGAGTTTCACTTACCCAGCATCTGTTTCTGCTCCTGGGGAGGGGCAGCAGCCAGCATGGAGGCTGTTAGCGGTTCCTGTCCCTGCACATGCACTGCAGGCTGCGGGGCCTAGAGAAGGGCAGACACAAGGGTTCTGAAATAGATACTAGCCTGGTTGCTTCATATTTAGAGACAATAAGATATTCCCTCCTTCTAAAGCACAATCTTTGTCCAGCCTACAGCAGACTTCAGGTCCAGAAAAGGACAGATAAGGCGCCCTTGGTTCACCAACACGCTCCCTCCAAGTCCTGAACTCAAAACTCCCTATTATCACACACGGGCACTGTAAATATCTTACAAAAACCGGATCAAACATTGTGCGACAAATATCATAATTGAGAAAGAGCAACATCCACGCCTGCTTTTTTTATAACACAGAGGTTTGTGGGAGAAGCAAACCGTGCCTTCAATGATATCCTAGGAAGGATTTGGCCACGAGGTGAGGGAATGAATGGTTGCAAAATGGGAAACCAACGAACCAAGAAAAATATCCTCACAGCAAGTCTCGGTAAGAAAGGGCCTACAAGTACAAGACAGAGAAACCAACGAGGTTGCCCCAGTAAAGGTACAACTGCAAGGTTTTTAAATTCCAAATTACAATGCCTGTCTGGGTTATAAAAGTCGCTTGAAGTTTCTGTGAAAACCCTTCAGCTGCATGTAAAACCCGTTGGACTGCAGTAGCTGCGGGGACTTCACAGCCCAGACCCTCGGTTACCTGCAAAGGCTGCACAGCGGGGTGAGGGCTGCGGACACTTGAGGCATATTTATAAGGAGGACCCGCTCTGGGAGCGGGGGCAGCTACAGGCGGACGAGGAGCTAAATTCTGTGCTGCGGTGCCAACGCCTGCAAAAGAAGAGGAGAACAGAATTACAAACACCTGTAGCAACATGCAAGCAAGTTGGGATGTCTGATATTAACTGCTGAATTCAAACTGTGCTCTGCACAGTCTAATACTTCCTCAGAAACTGCTCTCCAAAATGCAACTGGAGGGCTATTCTCCCTAAAACTAAATCATGGATTCCACGTCCTGCACTTAAGATATTTTCTAGTTATTCGCTGGAATAAAATGAATTTGGATGCTCTACTCCGAAAACAATATCCATAACCTACAGAGCCTTTTTTTTTTTTCCTTTTTTTGAGTGGTAAATGTTGCAGAGGTGTAGAGATGAGCTCCAAACCAGTGGAAAGCAACCCATCTGGATTTCCACTGCTGTGCTGTAGCACCAACTGTCCCCAGACCTGCACTGCACAGCAAGGAATAGGAAAGATTCAGGTGCTGTCTCTGCCCCTTGCTCCAGGTGGCCTTTGGTTATCCGGATCTGACAACCATCTTTGGAAGTGAAAGTCAAGTCTCAATAGCATCCTCCTCCCTCACAGACAAGGGGAAGAGCCTGGGAGGCAGACACCTTACCAACTCGCTGGGCAGCGGCAGGGAGGCCACGAGAGGCCGGAGCATTGCCGGCAGGGGCCAGATGGCGCAGTGCTGGCCGTGGTCCAGACTGGCGCATGGCATTTGGCATTCCCTGGAAGCCTAATGGAAGAAATGAGGGGAAATCCTCAAAATAGAACTGACTGGCAAGTCAGGACAGTCAGCTACAGAAAGCAGGTCGGGGTGGTGCATGGAAAGGAAAGCATGCATTGTTCTCATTGGAAAGTACAGCCCAGAGGGTCATACAACCAAAACATTGTCTCTAGCACGCTCACCTTGAGGTCTTCCCCCTTGCTGCCAGCGTGGGTTGGGTCTCATCTGCGTCATTTGATTGGGTGCATAGTAAGTGGGTCTGCTCTGAGCCTGAAGAAAGATCAGAGAAGCTCAGAGGCAAGAACTAAGTGAATCTCAAACATTGTTTACAACATGGTTTGGCAGTTGTTGCCAGGACTCAATGCTCAATTCGCATGAAGAGAACAGGCAGCTGGGAAGTCACAGAATTAACTCCACTGACTGCACCCCTCGTTAGGAGTTATTTGCTTATAGGCATAAGGAAGGCTCAATGAGATTATTGCAGCTGAACCATCAAAGCTCCAAGACAGGT